AACGGAAGAAACGTAAAAGAGAAGATAAATTTTTCTTCCTAGCGCTCACGTTACACCATAGAGGTTGATATGCCGCTAAACAAAAGCAACCAAACAACCAACATACAAGAACTTTCATGATATTAATCCATATAATATCCTACAATTTCTTAAAGAAATCAACCTGTATTCAAAAATATAGCTTCAACAAAATCTACAACATAAAACACACATATCATCGCCTCTAGTAATTATGTCCACACAAACATGTATATGCACAAAAGCTGAGTATCATCTACCATGTACTCAATTGCGAAAGCAGAATAACATATATCTTTTTTAACTTCAATGCTCCCAAGAAAATCAAATTTCGGCATTAAATGACACAAAAGGAGTTGATATGCCGTTAAACAAATCAAATCAAATTGTCCACATAACTTACACACTTCTTACATCATTTGGTTCACTTGTGGAGACCTTTTTTTTTTATTTTAGAACACTGCGTGTTGGGACGTGTCGTCATCCTGGATATGCCTGACTTTTAAATATAATTTCATGGAGAGGAAAAAAAATCAATGATGACATGTCAGACGAACAGGAAGACTATGGAAGAATTTCTTACCTCTATGAGCGACATTGGGAATTGTGAAGTGATGCATCTTTTTTGAAAATTCCTGGCACCTTTGTTGAACATACCTCATCTACAGGCATTGATGGCTTTAATTTCAACAGCAAAAAAAGGCATCATAAACATCGGCTACTGTGGTGCTTCTGATCAGGAAATCTATAAATATCCTACTATTTTGATCGCTATAAAAATATGAGCATCACCTTGCCAGCAGGATGGTTGGAGACGTACATCCCTTTTAGCCTGTAGAGAATCCCCAAACTTTTGTTGATCGTGTTTTAGTTTATGGGTCAAAGTTTCATCATGTGTAATTAATAGCACGAAAAAAAATTGGAGGGTATTGTATTCAATTGCAAATCTCCACCATATTGATACAGCTGGAGGCTAAACTAATCTTGACCTTGAAGACGAAACTACTAGACAATTATTAGTGAATACTTCTAATTATACATTCTATTCACTACTATTTCTCTAGTAGTCTCGTCTTTAGTTTAGTCTCCAGCTGTATCAACTACTATTTATATGGTGATTTGCATATGAATACACAAGGTCAAATGCACATAAAAACAATTGACTTCCTTGTTGAGCAAAATTAATGCAGATCATAATGATTGATTTTGTTGCTTCATACAATTCAAATGGAATCTATTGTGTTTGTTTCCTTGCTAATCGCTGTGAAATTATTTGGAATAGTGTCCCATGTTAACTGACTGGAACTATTCCAGTTAACATGTGACGCTATAGGGGTTGGTAGTGGGAAGAGACGAAGGGAAGATCTGAGCTATTAGACTGGTACAGCAGAAGTTTTTCCAGGTGTTACTAACCCAGACCGAGCAAGCAAAGCCTCAAATAAAACAAATGTTATATTATTGACAAATAATATAAAAATGAACGAAAATCGAGATGCATCGTAGGGAAATCATTAACCGGTCGGTGGAAAGCTGTGTGAAGGCTATGTTGTATGTCGTGAGTTCTCTTTTACGACTATGACGTTAAAATCTTCGTCGTTGATTAATACAGTAATTTGCTTTTAAATTTGCGCTAAATATGTACTAAAGATTTACCGAATAGTTATATTTAGATGAGAATTTACATGCTTAATTCGAAAATAACAAAGAAATTTTGATAAAATCTACCGTTTAGAAGTTATCGACAATAAAATTTCGGACTCATTCGCGTCGGGCCCGTCAGCCATTACTCGCATTATTTACATACATTTGTCTCGGACAAGTTATACACGGAAGCTTACTTTTCACTGATCTTATTCGTCTTAATTACTGCGCAAGGGCCAGGGTTACGGCACGACAGACAGTACTGTCGTTATTTACATACATTCACTACTGATTAGATTTGCGCGGAAGATCACATTGTTAACGGCATTTTTACAGTTCTTACTTGACTGAATTACTGCGCAAATAAGGACTCTTGCGTGCACGATAATCAAGACTATTCCGCAGCAAATATACGCAAACAACGCTGCAAGTAATGGCTGCCGTGACGCGAATGAGTCCGAACTTCTATTGTCGATAACTCCAAAACGGTAGATTTTATCAAAATTAAGCATATACATTTACACCTAAATATTCGGCAAATTTTTATTACATATTTAGTGCAGGACTTAAAAAGCAAATTACCCATACAGTTTGGTCCAACCTTACTCTTCGTTCACTATCAAACATCTCGAACAAATATATATCCTTTGCCACGTCAGCTCTCTTGTAACAAAACTTGTATAAACATGGAAGACAAATATTGATTAAAACTAAAAGTAATAAAAATTAAAAAAAATTAAATGAAATTTTGACTGAAAAAAATGCAGGAAGCACCCGATTAACACGATTCTAGTTATGGTGGTTCCGATTAACACACAGTAATTATAATAATCATTATCAGTTCCATAACTACTTCAATCGTCGGTGGGGGACCTAAGGACAGAAAGAACAGGCAACCTCCTCCAGGATGATATATTGGTGGTGGTTCTCAGGAGTATCAGCATTGGCATGTCTGTTCACTCTTTGATGCTTTCTGAGCAGCTTTTGCGCTCCGCCCCCCACTATTCAACAGTGCCTTGCATGATGGTCTTGCATCGACTGTTATGCCATATGATGTGACCAAACCATGCTCTCTTCCGACGCTTAATCGTCGCGAGGAAAGATTCCTGCCGACCCACGAGACTTTTGACCTTGCTCCGTACATATTCATTGGTTTTGTGCTCCCAGCAGGAGATGCGGAAGAATTTACAGCAATAATTAAGCAAAAATACAAAAAAAAAAATATTTGATCGTCGGCACCCGCTCGCTTCCGAGCATCGGGATCGTCAGCTTCTCTCCTTATTCCCTTTCTCACCTTTGGTGGCGGTGGCAGAGATAGTTGTGAAGGCCTAGTCTAATCCTGAATATTGTACTCCGTTTTCTACATATATCTTTTTACGTTCTAGGCACGTCATTCAAAATATTATTTAAATTTATCGCCTTTTAGACAGCTACTGTAAAATTTAGACTATGGGAGACAGGTCACCGACATATCCTTAACTAATTTATTGCCCAATGAAAATAATCTGTACTTTATAATTTTCAGAGTTTCTTTCTAATCCCTAAAAGAAACTATAAATAGTCTGAGGCGAAACAGAAAATCCCCTTTTTCGGCTAGCAACAGTTGCGGGCCAGCTTTAGTGTAGATGTCAGTGAGTTCAAATCGGTTAAACTTTAACAACTAGTAAGTCATTCCTATTACAACGCAGACAATTTTTTCTCAATCGAACTTACACTATAAACTTTGTGAAATAACTAAACTAAAAACAGATACTAACTCTGAATATATATGTTATTTTTTCTCAGTATTATAAAATTCACTTGTTATGTATCAAGTAATATTCATATTTGTCTTGATGTAACTTACACTCGGATGCTGAGAGCTATACTTAACATCTCTTGGAGACAACACCCAAATCACAGCTCTATGGACCGATCCCTGATATATCAACAATCTTACGTGAATGCAAATTGTGCTTTGCGAGACACTGCTGGCAAGCAAAACAAAAATTTGTCAGTGATCTACTGCTCTGGACACCTAGCCATATTGCAAGACGGGTTGGTCGCCCAGCAACCACCTACACTGATCGTCATTACGATAGTGTCCTATGTAAAGACATAGGACGCCACCGTAATGACCTTCCCACCTTGAAGTAGGACCGTGATGGCTGACGTGATAGTCTTATGAATGTCTGAGCTAGTTCGATCGAATAAAATGAATGTATCCAGTTTACCTTTTTTTCTTCCTTCAAAATTCCTGTTGTTCGTAAGTGTGTTAGTTTTTTCAATAAAGGTAAGGTTGTTTCATGCTAGACGCAATCGTCAGGACACGACTGCGACTAGAATGAAACAGCCTGTCGCCTCTGAGTGTTGACTACAATGTTCACTTTTATATTTACACACGCCCTATCTCTAATATTGAACACTTTATCCCATAAATATAGCACACCTTAAGTGTATATTCCTTCATATATATATATATATATATATATATATATATATATATATATATATATATATATATTTAATTAAATTTAGTTAAGCCTTAATTTAATAATTTTAGTTATTTTTCATAGGACATCATTCGAAGACTAAAAATATTTCCATTCCCATAAGAATAAATCCCCGGAAAAATTAGTGAAGTTTTATTCAAAACTTGTCCCTCTTGTGAATAAAATCAATCATAAGGAAGAAACTAATTTATATGTAAGCAACTGTATGTTTATAACACAAGATATATCAAAAGAAAGAAAGAAAAGAAAAGAAAAGAAAACATACAAAAAGAAAGAGCAATACAGAAAGAAAGGAAGAAAGAAAAGAAAATATATATATATATATACATAGAAAGAAAGAAAAAGAGAGAGATGTACAAAGAACAAAAGAAAGAAAGAAAGAGAGAGAGAGATAAAGAGAGAAAGAAAGAAAAAGAGAGTGGCGTAATATATATAAAGAAAAAGTGTAAGAAAAAGTGAGTTGTGTAATATATAGAGAGAAAGAAAGAAAGAAAGAAAAGAGATATAGAAAGAAAGAAAGGCAGAAAGAAAGGGAATACAGAAAGAAAGAGAGAGAAAGAGAGAGATAAAGAAAGAAAGAAAGAAAGAAAGAAAGAAAAGAAATAAAGAAAGAAAGAAAGAAAGAAAGAAAGAAAGAAAAAGGTAGAAAGAAAGGCAGATACAGAAAGAAAGAGAGAAAGAAAGAAAGAAAGAAAGAAAGAAAGAAAGAAAGAAAGAAAGAGATATACAGAACGAGAGGAAGAATAGCATTTACGAAACAATTCTCAGTAATTCTTTTTGCCAAATAAAATGTGCCTTTCCATTCACAAAAGTTACAATTGTGAAAACAGTCTTTTATTATCATTTATTTATGGCCATATCACGTTGAAATACCGGTTCCCACACGAGCACAGAAGTTAAGCAATCTTGAACCTGGTCAATACGTAGATGGATGGCCGCTCGGGAATATGAGCTGTTGTAAGCTTCGATGTGTGTAATAGATAAAAGCTCAGGGTGAATAATCGGAGAGCCGAGTTTGAATTCAAGTTGGGTTCGTTTTATTCACTTACGGCCAAATACCCTGAGAAATATATGGATCCACCTACTTTCCCCCAGCTATGGATTAAATAGTAAAACATGTAATATAAAATCATTATTACCACCAACAATTCTTACAATCCAAAAAATATGTTTCGGCTTTAAATAATCACAGAAATGATGATAAGCCATAAAAAAGTGATTTCCCTATGCTATTAGGCATGAAAAATTATCTTAAAAAGCATTCGTTTATAATTTTAATTTCAGGATTAATTACACCGTTTCTCAGAGGGTTTTAATTTCGATTTACACGGTTCCAATTTGCGCAGTACTTTTGAGGGTGCATTTAAGAATCAAAGGTTTTCTGCAAGTACAGTACAGTATAGATATCCTGTATTTAAGAATCAACGGTTTCCTGCATTTAAGAATCAAAGGTTTCCTGCAAGTACAGTATAGATATCCTGTATTTAAGAATCAGCGGTTTCCTGCATTTAAGAATCAAAGGTTTCCTGCAAGTACAGTACAGTATAGATATCCTGTATTTAAGAATCAGCGGTTTCCTGCATTTAAGAATCAAAGGTTTCCTGCATTCAATAATCAGAAGTTTCTTGCTTTTAGGAATCTGTGGTCTCCTGCATTTAAGTATCGGGTGCTTCTGGCACTTAAGAATCAGAGGTCCCCTGCATTTAAGAATCAAATATCAATGAGAAATATTTCTGAATGAAAACAAAACAGTAAAAACCGTTATGCTTCAAATAAGATCACCAGTTTGAGGTTTGACATCGCTGATATTCTAATTTCCTCTTAATAAGTGATAATAGGGAAAAATGCACTCGCCTACTATTGCTTGGCAACCAGTCTAGAAGAAGGAAAATTTTGAATTCAGAAATCTCCTCTGCTTAACTGTCATATTTACGCAAAGGAAATGTCTCGGTAGTAAACTTCGTGGATAAATCTGGAGCTGGAGTCTCTATGCAGTCTTTAATCTCGTTCTGGTCACTTCTATAACGACACTGGCGCCAAACTGCATCGGGCCTTACTCTTCCTTTGGGAAAGACCATATTGCGGAAACGAAGAATGGATAACCTGGAAGGCAGAACTTAACGCTGTTGCTGTTACTGCTGAAGAGGTTAATTTCTTCTTCGCCTCAGTAAACGTAAATTCGAGGAAAAGGAATGCATCGTATTTTGGATAAATAAATGTCTAATTTATATACAAATATACAAAGTCAGCATACTACTCATTGCTATTGTAAAAGGCGACGGAGTCGGGAAGGAAGGGAGAAAGAGAAAGAATGTTGGTCATGGCTGTCGGCTGATATTTTGTGAAGACGGCGGCGGCAAAGGATGAAAGTTGAAAAGTATCGCGTTCAGTCTGCTTGCGGCGTTCTTGACCAGCCTCTGCGTGTCGACATCTCAGCCGGGTCTCTGTCTGTCTCTCTCTCTCTCTCTGCCCTTCGTGGCGTTGAATCAGTGAATTTATATCCGTCGTATCGGCTCCAAATCACAGTCTGTGTCTTTTAGCGGGAGTTATTTATACTGGCCAATATATAAAGTTCATTTTTTTTCTTTAATACCAAAAACATGCGTCGAGCCATGATGCGCAGAAACACGTTTTCGCATTCTACTTTAGGTCGTTGAGCAGTCAACATCCTGTTTAGAGTAAGAGACACGGCAACTGTTAACATGGAGAAGGGAGACATTGCAACTACCTGTTTTTTGTTTTTATTTTTTTGTTTTTTGCTATAAAAACCTTGCCTAATCGTGTGCCGTGGAGAGCAAAACATTTCAAGCAAAGATCCGAAGTTTCGTTCCACTGATGGTTGCTTCAGAATAGTTTTCCTTTCGGGTCACCGTACATTTATTTCGCCAACACTCCACCTGAGTAAAGAGCGAAGAGCTGTCACCTGAACCATAGATCTTGCTTTCTTTCAAAAAATTTACATACATATTTCAGCCATACAAATGACATACTGTGTGGTGTTTACGATATTCTTTATCAATGAATTGTTTTGTGGCAGACTTCACCACATTAATTTAACTTTAGATTAAGAAACAAAACTGACGGAGAAAAGGATAATCAAAAGACATCGTTGCACATAAAATATGTATTTAACAAGATGTACAAAATAAAGCATGCATTTAAGTAAGAAAAGGTTGAATAAAACAAGAGTTGTCTCTCTTTAACTATTATTTTTGTATTTCAAAGTTCACTTGAAGAAAGTTTATGAGAGTTTCTTGTAGTAATTGTTCTCAGAAGACTTGCTGTGTAAGGAACGTTATGTGAGTGTATAAGGAATGTTCAGCATGTGAGTGGTGGTGTGAGTGAGAAGGTTGGCGCATGTTTTCAACTGTCGTGGATTCGTTTGGCAGCTGAATTCTCACTTATTAGCTAAGAAAAATTCTTGCTTATATAAGTGACTATAGGCTGCGCAGGAAAAGTTATTCTTCACCTGCAGACGATCTGATTGGTTGGCATTGACCAATCAGCGAGCGAGTTTTGGGGAGACTTAAGAAAGCTTCTGGGATCTGTTTCTCCTAAATGTACACAAAATTGACTACATGAAAATAGAGCGATTACAAAATTGTCGCATTGCTGCGATTTGTAAATTGTCTATAATAACGTAGTGGTGATTTATTAACCAATGAATGCTTGTCGTTGTATGTGATTTGTATTTGTGTATGTATGTATGTGTGTGCGATGTAGATCGACACAGTTTCGTAAATGTTTTTTTTTTCTTTCTGTATGTCTCTTTTTCTCTTTCTTGAAAAAATGTCCCAAAACATAAAATCTTTGTTCATTCGTTCATTCCTTCCTTCCTTCCTTCCTTCCTTTGTAGGGTCATTATTATAAAAATAAAAATATAAAATAATAATGATAAATAGCATAAATAAAATAAAATAAAACAAATAACATTAAAAGTTTATTTAAAATAAAATAAATAAAACCAAAATAATAAAAGTTCTCCCAGCATGCAACAGAAAACTTTCCTGTCTGAAAACGAATACTTGGCGCCCAAAACGCCGAATTCACTCTTTTCTTTTAGCTACCAGCCCTCAAAGGGTCAAGCAAGACATTCATCTCTTCTCCTCAGCACATTGCTTGTCATAAGAAGACGAAGTGACTTTCTTCCTCTATCATATGCAACCTTAAAAGAAATATAACTAAAATATGTACACATAAATAAATAAAATGATATGATTTTAATTTACAATTTAACATGTTTTTAGTGTTATTTCCTTGTATGATTTTATTCCTGTGAAAACGAGGCTATCCCTGCTGCTGTGATGTGACTGATCCTACACCTACCTACCTACCTACCTACCTACCTACCTACCTACCTCAGTCCAGCTAAAGCGCAAGATGTAGCAATATTCAAAATATCTTCGTTAAAAAAAAATCACTCTTATCCAGCCTTCATTAACGAAATTTCTTTTCCATGGTTACACACATACACACGCACACACACACTAGTAAACACTTACTAAATCTTTCTTAATCCTCATCATAGGATTATCTCTTGTAATTACAACGCCTCTCTGTGATCAAATTGGGTGTGAGACGCATTAGAAGACGACTTGAATTGATGGGGTTAAGCAGTTTGTGTGGATATTAATAATGTTTTTCTTTCTATGTGCCGTGTCTTTTCAGGACGTAGACGATCATGGCTCTCCACCACCTCCCTCTATCCCTTTCAGCTCTCAACAAGTTCCTTCTCTCTGTTACCTCTCCTAGAACACGTTCTGTCATCTACTTGCTTAACCAGCTAGGTATGTCATGCATTGCTTTCCCTTGTCTCTCTTTCCCTCTATTCAACCCGTGAGTATCAAATTCTCCAGGCCCTCCTTCCTCATTATGTGTCCCAGAAACTTCAGCTGTCTTTTCATGATATTAAGTATAAGCCTCCTCCTTGTTTGCAACCTCTCTAAGAGCTCATCGTTGCTCACACGCTCGGTCCATGATATCCTTAGCATCCTTCTGTAGAACCACATCTCTGTCGCCTCGAGTCTCTTCTTTATCTTTGAGGAAATCGTCCAACATTCGCTGCCGTAAAGAAGGACAGATGTCACTTAACAGCTCAGTATTCTTTTCTTCATTATCAAAGAAATTCTCCTGTTTCGCAATACTCTGCTCAGCTTTTGGAATTTGTCTTTGGCCATCCCGATACGTCTACAGATCTCAATGTCCCATTTCCCGTACTCTGACAGAAAGCTTAAAAATTTTCATATAAAAAATTACAACCAAAACCAAATATGTGTGTGTGTGTGTGTGCGCGCGTGCGTGTATGTGTGTGCGTGGGTGTATGTGTTCACGGTTCATCACAGTTTAAAGTTCGTGAGCTTCGCTTCAACCAACAGTTTTGTTACTTCCCATTAAATTGATTTCCATTAGAAATTTCGGACCAATCAAAACATTTCTCACCTTTATTTAAGAAAGCCAAGCCAACTCTCTATAACTATAAAATCTATGTGAATCTCTATAAACACACATTTCTCGCTTTTATTTACTCAATTCAAACCCGAAGCCTCTCAATCTAAATAAATGCACATAAATTTTTAATAATAAGATTTACTAAAATGTTTGAATATTTCAGTATACCCGAAACGTGTCTTTTTCTCCGAACATTTCAAATAATAATTTTACTATGAAAATATACACCCACATAACTTGCATAGACATTTAAAAAGAAAACATTGTTTACTAAAATCAGCCAAGAGGTCTCGAAACCTCTATAAACTAGTAACGTTTCACTGCCACCAAGCAGACCCTAACCTATCATAATGGATAGGTCTTCTCTCAAGAAGGTAGGGCCGGCTCAAGGTACTGGAAACTCGGGCAGTCGGTTGGGGCGCCATCAAGGCTGAGGGCACGTACATGGCCCCATGAAGATTATACTTGCGGTCGTCCATGACTCAACACAGATTAAATTCTTTGGTTACTTTGT